AAAAAAAAAAAAAAAAAAAAAAAAAAAAAAAAAAAAAAAAAAAAGCAAATATAGTATATACATAGTGTATAGTGTCTATAGCATAGTACATAGTATATAGAATGGAATATAACACAAAAACACCCCCATCTGGCTAGATTGGTGTTATTTCTTTCCTGGGCAGATATTTGGAGAGGTATCTGCCCAGCACCTGTTGCCTACTAAGTGATGAATAAATGTTTGCTGAATGAGTAGTTGCTCTGTGCAACCCAACACGATGTTGTGCTGCGATGCAAAGTCTTAATTTATGTTGCAGTTACCGTTAAGTCTTTCAATCTTAGCTCATCTGCTTCTGGATGAGTAGATGTTTCTCATCTCACAGAGCAACCAGGGAACAGCCGACAGGCCTCTGTTAGAAAGGATGAACCCAGACTCCCAAGGAGGGAGGAGGTGTGATTGATTAGCTATGCCTGCCAGAGGCACCTACGTGGAGCACCAGCCCATGTGCTGAGTGTTAGGTTTTCCAAAAAGTCCCAGCTGAACTAAGTATGAGCACATTTTCCCAGCGTGGTAAGACAGGAAGCTTCTTAAACCTGCCCGTATACTGACTTCTAAATGGTATGCAAATGTGGTAGCCTCTTTTTTTCCATATCTTTAAGAGAATTGTATCTTTGTTCTTGAGGCTGGCTTTGAGGAAGGAGCAACTAGGTATGAAGAAGTTTGTCCGGTCATTTCCCTCTCCCAGGCAGGCTCACGATGCTTCCTTGTCCTGAAAACCCAGCACGGCCACATTCCTTAACTGTCTGCATGTTTTCCCCCATGGTGAGGAGTTAAGGAAAAAATATAAGTATTATTCTGGTAAATAAGCCCAATTTAAAAGAGCAAGTGGGAAGGCAAGATTGAATTCACCACCTTACAGCAAGTCCGGCAGCATCAGAGCGGCCCCTGGTCTGCTGGCCGAGGGCGCACACACAGACGCCTCAGCCACACGCAGTGTAGACTGCGGCACTGTCACCGCCCCCCCCCACTGCCTGGCGTGACACTGAGATGCCCTGGAGAGCCATGCAAAGCACAGTCCGAGCCGGTGAGCAGAGCTGCTGTTGGGTTTGGACCTTTTCACAGCATGGCGACTTAGCTCGTTCCCGTTCCGGGTGTGCTCTGCTCTCCTGTGGGTTCTCCTGGGTGTATGGCATGGACCCAACTCTCTCAGTGTTTTTAAAGCCTGCCGATGTGCAAGGGGGATGCTGCCCAGAGGCCAGGTCACATGGGTACAATTCCCTTGTAGCACGAAATCAGGTTTGATCCTAAAGTATAAAGCATTTGTGTTTCTAATGCTTTACTCGTGTTTTGATTGGTTCGGAAGCAATGCACTGCTGGAAGGATACTGTGAACATACAACATTTTACATCTGCACTGTTCAGTAACCAAACCCAGGAGTCCTGGTCAGTACACATAAAGCCCTCCCTATGCACTGCCCTAGGGCTGTGTCATGATCAAGCACATGCTCCTGGTTTCTGTGTGCCCAGGCCGTCACAGGCTGACCCTGCATGCTGTTTCCCACAGCCGTGTCCTGTGGGAATCCCGGCACACCCACCCATGGCCGCATCGTCAGCAGCGACGGCGTCCTTTTCTCCAGCTCTGTGGTCTACGCGTGCTGGGATGGCTACAAGACCTCTGGGCTCACCACGCGGCACTGCACAGCCAACGGGACCTGGACCGGCACTGCTCCAGACTGCACAAGTCGGTACCGGGTGCAGGCCTTAGTACCCCATGAGATCCGTGCAACTGAGGAAAAGTGGGATTCTGGAAAGGGAGGAAAGCGGGATACATTCTGTGCCTCTGTTCCCTCAGGACTTTTTGTTTGTCTCCTGCAGTACTGGGGGTTGAACTCAGGGCTGACACACTGAGCTATATCGCTGACACCTTTCTTAGATTTTATTTTGGGAAAAGGTCTTGTTAAGTTGCTAAGTTGTCCAGGCTGGGGTCAAATTTGAGCCCCTCCTGCCACAGGCTCCCCAGTGCTAGGATTACAGGTATGCAGCATCATACCAGGCTCCCCAGTGGCCAGAATAGCATTCTCTATAAATTAATAGATGAGTCTACTTTAAATAGCCACTGAAGGTTGGATATTATAAAGCTGGAGAAAAAAGTAACAGGATTTTCTGTGTTTGTAGATCATTTATTGTGCAAAGAAAAAAGATGTTTAGCTCAGTGATGACAGCTGTGTATCTGTCCTTGACCAGCAAACTGAGCTTTGACAGCAAGACTAAAATCTTGAACAGCCAAGGGGTGACAGCCAGGGTCTACACAGCCAACCTCCAGTAAGATGGTACTGGGGGCTTCCTAGAGCTCAGCCTCCCAGCAGCCAGGGTTCGGCCAGGTCACCAGTGAGGGCCAGGTCTCCCAATTCACAGCTGGTCCTGGGAGCAGACAGGTAGAATGGCTGAACAGTGCCCGCAGCCACTCATGTCATGGTAACTGCACGGCTCTGGTCTTTTTGCTGCCCACTAGTTATCAGCTGTGGAAACCCAGGCACACTGCCCAACGGCGTACAGTTTGGGACTGATTTCACCTTCAACAAGACTGTGAGCTACCAGTGCAACCCTGGCTACCTGATGGAACCTGCCACGGCCTCCACCATCCACTGTACCAAAGACAGCACGTGGAACCAGAGCAAGCCTGTCTGCAAAGGTCACCGGTGGCCCTGCTTGTTTTAACCCAACTTACAAGTGCCAAAGTCTTTGCAGAGCTGGGTTTGATGTCATTTTGCAATCACTCAAGCAGCTCTTCCTGGATCTGGGGATTCTAGGGACTCCTAAGGACCCATTTTCAAACACAAAATCGCTCTTATTTTCCTAATATATTAATGTCAGTTTTTCAGGTGGCAAAACTAGCTTCCTGAAAAGAGTAGCCAACTGCTCAGAGCTCCAGAGCAGTGGTAAAGAAGCAGCACTTGGGTGGCCTGACTCCGTCCTCTGGCAGGGTGTTGGAAGCCAGAGCCAGGGCCTCTTGGTGACAGGGTAGCAGCAGGTGGCACCGCAGATGTGGTGAACAGAACATGAAGCTGCAGAGGCCGGACAGGCCCGCAGGCACCGGCGATGGCACAGCACTCGTGGCGAGTGTCAGCAGCGGGGGACCCTGGGGGCTGGATGCCAGGGAAGGTGTCTTCCCGCCAGAACCCCTTAGTAGTTCTTTCATTACAAAAATTCTATGTGGATGTGATCCGTGAAGCAGGAAAACCAAACGGAAGTGTGGGTGGCGGGAGTGTGGCAGCCGGGTGCACGGTGCGGTGCTCACTGCTGTTCTCTGCCCACAGCTGTCCTGTGCAGCCAGCCCCCGCCCGTGCCCCACGGGAAGGTGGAGGGCACCGACTTCCGCTGGGGCTCCAGCATCAGTTACAGCTGTGTGGACGGCTACCAGCTGTCCCACTCCGCCATCCTCTCCTGTGAAGGGCACGGGGTGTGGAAAGGAGAGGCCCCCCAGTGCCTGCGTAAGTCCCGGGCAGCCCGTCCCACGATGACACATGAGCCATCACCGTCCAGGTCGCCAGGCCTGAGCACAGCGGTGTGGAATCACACCAAGTACAAGTGGGGCGTGATCCAAATCACAGCGAGGGCCTTCGCTTGTAAAAATTATTAGAGTCAAAGATGCGCTGCCACCGATCCACAGAATCCTCCCCTCACTTTGGACACACTCATCCCGTCGTGCTGGCCGCGTGCTGGCGTCCTCTTGCCTGTGCGGCTTTGGTTGTGCTACCACGTCCTGCATCATTCGAAACATTTCCCTTTCATGGTCACTCTGACTCCGGGTCAGAGCAGAAGTCACACGGGGCTGACGTGACGAGCACGGTAGAGGGACACAAGCAATGTTTATGACCCTGCCTCTCCGTTCAGCGTGGGCTGGCAGCCACTTCACCGTATTCTCAGCACACCTTGTAAACACACTCACAAAGGAGGGCCCCAGAACTGCATCAGAAAGTGGCGAGAAAGAAGGATTAACTGTGCTTGAGGTAAAGGGGAGGCTTTTGAGAGGACTGATGGCAATGTGTCCTCTACGCTTGGCGTCTTTCGTATTTAAACACACACTGGATATAGGAATCTGACTGGAGTATGCATCCCCCAGGGGCTGCGGCTTTCCTCTTGGTCGCTCGTGTTTAGTAGTTAACTCTGAGGACGTCATAGCACTAGTTGATGAGTCCAGCCCGTTGAGCTGTGCAGAGATGCTCCTTGCTGAGCTCTTTCTGTCCATCCCCACAGCTGTGTTCTGCGGAGACCCTGGGATCCCGGCCGAGGGACACATCAGTGGGAAGAGCTTCACATTCAAGTCTGAGGTCTTCTTCCAGTGCAAGGTGCCCTTCATACTGGTGGGGTCATCAAGGAGAACTTGCCAGGCGGATGGCACCTGGAGTGGCATTCAGCCCACCTGCATAGGTAATGTTGGTGTCTTAGTTGATTTCTAGTTGCTGGGACAAAATACCTGACCACCAGGAGAGGTTTATCTTGGGTCACAATTTGTAGAGGTTTCAGTTCATAGTTGGCTGGCATCAAGACAGGGCAGAGGAGCTCATGGCGTGGCAGAGGAGAAATGGCTCATGGCAGGGCAGTCAGGAAACAGAGAGATCAAGGCAGGAGGAGGGAGACAGACCCTGCAGGCCATGCCCCCAGTGACCTCCTCCCACCATCACACCCAGATGTAAACTCGTGAGTACACTAGACCACTGAGGAGTATCACGCCCTGTGATCCAGTCACCTCCCAGAGCCCCACCTGTGAGTACGTGAGGCACTGGGGGACATCTAGATATGACAGGGTCCAGGATACTCTGATAAGAACCTTTTACTACTCAGTAGGACCATTTGGGGTGACACAGCCAGTGTTTGGGGCAAGGTGCTACTCTGAGGTGGTGCTGGCCAGGTGAGCAGACAGGCAGTGTCCTACATCTGCACACCGGTTGGAGCTGAGTCCCAAGTCCTGGCACAGCTGGTCCACAGATGCAGGTGGCACCACCCTAAAAACACCATCACAGAGGTGGGCTGGGGTTCTCTTGCTGTGGACACATCTTGCTGCCTTGGCATCCCCAGCTTTACTGAGCTGTTCTCTGCAAATTTATGGTAAAAACAATGGTCCATGGTCTTGGTTATTTTCCAAGAAATTAAATGATATCTACTTAAAATACAGTATTAGAAATAATTTCAATGAAGCCTTTTTTAAAATCTAGAAATGTTTGCTGTCACTTGATTAAAACTACTGCTCCATGGTAGATATCTCAGTATTGCAAATATTTTCCTCCAATAGATTGGTTGTTCTAGAAAATAAATTTTAAGTAATCACATTTTGTTTTTCTATGCACAGCTAGGAGTAGCAGTAATGCAGTCCAGCCAGTGCTCATTGGCTTATGTTCTTTGGGTTTGGGAAATGTCCCTGTGGTAGACCATATGCATCCATTGGAGTCATTAAATATTCCTCTCATTTTGAAATCTTGAGGGTGGAAGATTTAGCTCAGTGGTTCTGCTCCTGTCTCACAAGCGCATGGTCCCCTGGAACCAAAAAAAAACAGTGAAATCTTGAGAAAAAATTTATCCAGGAAATAGGGAATAATGTCATGGATGAAACTGTGATCACCATTAATTAAAATTTTATAAGCCAGAAAATCACAGTAGGTGTTTATTGATCACACTATAACCAAATAGTTATTGGTAGAGGGATTTTAAAGAACAATTTATTCTTATATTGATAAGTCTATGCAAATCTACTTACAGCCCAGTGAACAAAGCATTAATTGCTGAAGATGTCTGCAGAGATGAAAATAGTAATTTACTTTAACTTGTAGCATTTATGAAAAATCTTGCTTATTTGTCAAAATATTTAAATGTTACAATGTTTTGATTGTGAATTTCAGATCCTGCACATAACACCTGCCCCGATCCTGGGACCCCACACTTTGGAATACAGAATAGCTCTAGAGGATATGAGGTACTTTCCTTCTCTTTATTAGAAATGTAAAACAGAGCAGCTGCTTAAGCATGTGTGTAGATTTTCATAGGTAGTGTCTTCTTCATATTAGATTTGCCTAAAGTCAATCAGTGAAGATTTCTGCATGTGGTTTTAACTGTCAAACTGGATAGTCATGTGTATCTTGACTACTGCAGTCCCAACAGCTACCTTAATTTCTACTTGGAAACATGTGTGCTTGGGGACTTTTCATCGGTTGAACTCAAAGGGCAATTCTCAAATTGGAATTACCTGTTACTGAATAGCTACACTTAAGACTCCACTTAAAGACTGATATAGTGGGCAAATAATATAAAATTTAAATTCTATAGAGGTTAATGAGAGAGGGGGTGTATTTCAGTCCTTCATGCCAAGCTTTCTTGATCTGTGTTCTGCCTGTGACCTATTATGGCAGAGCCATGAATTCCTGGCATGTAAATATCACTTTGGAGCACCTGACTTGTAAAAAATATGTATGAAAACTACTTAATATTGGACAAATGCTTAAAAACAAAAGGTAATGTTCTAACCATCTCTAATAGTCAAGCAACGTTGGGCTCTCTGACAATGACTTTGAAACCAAAGTTGAGTATGCACACTCCTTGCAATGTATAGGTCCCATACTTTAGGACCAAAGCCTTCTTCCCTCAGCCACTTCCTGCCATCTCTCAGAAGCACTAGCGTTTTCCTCTCTCACCTGCCCAGGTGCACTTTGCTACTTCCCAACACCTCTGCTATGTTCCCATATAGGAAGTTCTTACGGGGAGTGATTTGTTGAATCTGGCCCATTTTATATTATACCTCAGATATGGCCTTAAGTTTCAGGAGAATGCTTTATGGGAGATAAATATTCAATGGCAAATATCTAGGGATATGGACAAATCTCCCTGTGGATCTGTTCTCACAGACACACTCCGAAGCTGAGAACTGATCACCATACCTTCCAGGTGCTGTACTCCTGCGTGTGCACAGCTCAGTTACTGAGTTTGTCTTAGGAACAATTCCTGCATCTTCTGCAAGCTGCTGTTGGGGTGTGAAGTCCCTCACCCTCTTCATGACAAAATAAAGTTATGCCATCAGGAAAGGCAGCCCAACAGGAGGATTTGCAGATAAAGTAAAGGGCACAGACTCTATCCCAGGCGGCTCCCCAGCAGGCTTTCTTTCCTCCATTACAAGTCAGTTTTGAAGGAGCCTTTGCTCCCCGTAGCAGTGAACATGTCAGTTGCAATGAGGAAGCCTCATCAGTGAGGAACACCCAGTCCTGACATGTTAGCAGGCTGAGGGCCTGGTTCCCACCGTCCTCCAGCTGTGTCCCTGAGCCCACAAGCTCCAGGTTGCTGCCTTGCCCTGGGAGAGGACGTCTGGCTCTGGCACTTGGCCAGGAAGGACACTGTGGTCTCCCCACACTAAGAGGAAGGGGCTCTCCCTGCCTCCCTGTGCCCGTGCTCCCAGGGTTAGTGGGTACTGTCCCTGGGGGGCAGGTAGAGGCCCACTCTTACTCACCTCTGAGAGTCAATCAGTTATTGACCGGAAGCTGAGATGCATTTGAATGATTTTCCCTATAAATCTCTACTTCGTGGAGGGTAGGGAGCAGCCCCTTCATTGTCATGATTCAGTGCCAACCGTTCCCCATGCTGTGCAATAGTTCTCCCCAAATCCCAGGGAAGCTGGAGGGGGCTGCAAGAAGGTACCCGCAGAGGAGGCCAGGAGCTGCCATGGATTCTCAGAGCAGGGACAGTGGTGACACCTAGTCTTAGATTCTCACTGGGTCTCCAGGCAAGCTGTGGGGCACTATGGTGGGGTCCCACAGAGCACCCGGATGTAAGGCTGACTTTGCTGCAGTTTCTGTCCACCTCGCCTGGTCCCCTGCTCTGGGTGGGAAGGGTAACGGGTGAGCTTGGTGCCCTCAGCACTGACCGACCGCAGCTCATCACAGGGCACAGGGAGACTCCTCTAAGGTGCTCTGCTAGGTTAGGGGCTTAGGCAAAGAGGACAGGCAACTGCAGCTCACCATGGTGACAGTGGCAGCTGGTGCTGGGTAGCGTGTAGCATTCCTTCTTGGAAGACTGTGAGGGGTGCACAGAGAATCGGGGTGCAAACAAAGCCCGAGAGGGAAAGGGGGAGCTCAGGAAGATCCATCAGAGCGGACACCTCAGATGTTCCAAGCGCAGCACAGAGTTCACAGATGGGAAGCAGCCGGAAGAATGAGTCCGGATAGTCGGCTAGACAGCCAGCGGCGGGAAGGTCCTCTGGGGGCAGCCGAGTTACCTTCTAAGAAATCGCCCGTTGCTTAAAATGCAAATAGCAGCGAAAAAGAAAAAGAAATGGATAGTAAAAAGAAAATTCTAAAAGCACAGAGAAAAGCAACTGCATGGTGTAAGATCCGATGCTCTAACGTGACTGGAATGTGTACACAGATTCACTCGGGGGCCAGAGGGCGCCGTGAGAGCCCCGGTGAGCTTGCACCCCAGCCCTGATGCCCTGTGGGTGTCTCTACAGGTGGGGAGTACCGTCTTCTTCAGGTGCAGGAAAGGCTACCATGTCCAGGGCTCCACCACGCGGACCTGCCTCGCCAACCTCACCTGGAGCGGCACGCAAACCGAGTGCTCTCGTAAGTGCCACCCAGGCACCCGGACCTGGGGGAGGAGGTCCGTCCTCAGGGGCAGCGGGGGTTGTTTTGCTTTGGCTTGGTTTTTGAATCTCAAACTGAGTATTTTCTGAAGCGTGGTTCCTAGAGCAGCAGCCTCGGCAAGGCCGGAGCTTGGAAATGCTGGTGCTTGGCGCCCGGACGCTGGGCTCCTTGCTACTTTGAGCAGGAGAGATGGCCCAGGGCAGGGCCGGCCCAGCTGTTCTCCTTGTGTGCTTCCCAGGTCCGGTGATAAGTCAGAGCGGGAGAACGAATGTTTAAAGTGCTATTTTTGCTATAGATTCGAAGTGTGTAAGGACTGATCGTTTGAATAATTAAATATAAATTTTACTTTGTGTTTCAATCATAGAAGAAAAGTTTTTCTTGAATGGTTAGTAAATCAGTAATTCATTTCACTTGCCATTCATTTAGTGAAATATTGTGCCTCTACTACATTAAGCATGAAATGATTAGTGGGTAGATAAAAATTATTTTAATAGAAAATTAGGATTTTGTGTATTTATCAGTATCATCAGTTGTGTAGTATTCAAGGTTGTCATTTCTACATCACTTACTGCACATATATATGTTATATAGAGCTCCCTAGAAACTCATTATATTGCAAATTTTGAAAGTAGGTAAAATACTAACAATACATAAAGCAATTGCATGCACCATTTTAAAATTATCAACTTGTTTTATAGTAATCTGCCAAGTCCTTTATTTCAGATATATATAATATAGAACTTTATAAAGAGTGAAATTGAGATATAAACTAAATATTACAATGGCCTTTATTCCTAAATTACATCTTTAGAGATTCTCCATTATTTAACTTGCACACACATGACAGTTTTTACCACTCACCTAATGGAACTCTGGCTTTACCCACTGCCACCTGACGGAAGTCAAGGTCAGCTGGAAAGGGTTTGTCTGGATGTTAGCTGATAAGACCGAACACTGGAGTGCACTTAACAGACTGTCTGTCTGGATTGTTTATCAAGCAGTCCGGTTAAGCTAAGATCTAATGTTGAATCTCTGTATATCATCCTATGTGTTCCATGTGTGTATGAAATCCCTAACTTCAGGACCATTGCTGGATTTTTCCTTATGTTTATTCCTTGGGCTCAGCTCACACACTAACATGGGAATGAACGAGTTTTCAGCCTTCTGTAATGAGATAAATGCTGTTTTTTGCAGCTCATTCATGCAGGCAACCAGAAACTCCGGCACATGCAGATGTGCGAGCCATCGATCTGCCTGCGTTTGGCTACACCCTGGTGTACACGTGCCACCCCGGCTTCTTCCTTGCAGGCGGATCTGAACACAGGACATGTAAAGCAGACATGAAGTGGACAGGGAAGTCCCCTGTGTGTAAAAGTAAGTCACTGGCCCGGGTGTGGAAGCACACCCTTCCAGGGCACAGGCCAGTGTCTCCTGCCCCCAGGGTAGCAGCCAGGTGTGAGACTCGTGAGTAACGTGGGGGTGGGGGCATCCCCACACTGCCTGGACACACTCCTTGTGTGCAAGCCATGCCTGTCTACGTGTGCACACAGTTCGGTGTCTGATTTGTGGGGCAGAGCTGAGTGGCTGTTGGACTGTGCTACCCACATTTTAAGCCAAAGAGGAAAAACCATTTGGTTGAAGAAAAGCATTCTGAGTTAAATCAAAATAATATAAAGTATATTTCCAAAAATGTATTACTTAAAAATGAAAATGGATACATGAATATCACCAAGCATCTGAGGGTATGTAAATTAAACTCCCTGTGTTATTTTTAAGACCACAGCTGCTGGTGGTGGAACATGAGTTCCTATGTTCTTGATGCTGATTCTCTTTTTTAAATCACTAGACTAGCATGGAAATGATGTGGTAACTACTCAACAATTCATGTGCTTACAAATAAGAGCAATAAGCGGAGGTCAGGTTGCACGGTAGAAATCTCTCAGGTTCTTCCCAAGCAGAGACGACCCACAGGGCTTGAATCCCAGAGAGCAGAACGGTAGAAGGAGAGGACTTCGGCGATTTCAGCTCCGGGTTCCCAGAGCCGACTTAGTCACAGTTCTCAATTTAGGCAGTTTTTACATACGTGCTTCTCCCATGCTTCCCTGTTGAATGTAGAGTAATATAAGCCGTGAAACATAATCCTCTGCAGAGGTGTGATGTACATCTGTGGAGTTCAGGGATTATACCCGAAATCTGACCTGCAGACCATATCAAGCACTGAGCAAACACAGATACTGTGCAGTGTCAGCCTTGACAGGAGAGGGAAAAGCCAGGGGGGCCGTGAAAGCTTCTGCCCGTGGGCGACGCCAGTAGTGTGAGGCAGTGGGTCCTGTCAGCGCATCAGGGACTACCCACGCCACCCTCATTTTCAAGGCTCTCTGTTGTAGCACCTTCTGTGGACACACGCGGCAAGGGAGCACCCGGGGCTCTCCACGGAGCGGCTCCCCACAGACACAGAGGAGATGCTGCTGCCGATACAAGGGTCTAGGTGGATATGTATCCCATATTCAGATTATAAAACCCATAAATATTCATATTATAAAAATCTGGAGGAAGGAAAACTGCTTCAACTTGACCTTTTTTCAACCTTATTTTAAACAATGTTTTTGAAAATGATAATTTGTCTTTTTACTTGTAGGTAAAGGAGTCAGAGAAGTTAATGAAACAGTTACTAAAACTCCAGGTTTGTATACCAGAACAGTTATAGATTTCAATTAAATGAAGCGGCTTGTTCTCTGCTATCCTCTGCACAATGAAATAACGTTTAGTCTTTGGATTTCTGAATCCATTCGTCCATGGCAAAGTTAGTATTTCTGTTCCAGACCTCGGTTTCTTGCACCTCCATGGAATTCTAGTGGGAGGGTATCACCCTGGGGCTGATCGGTCACTGTTCGCCATACAGCACCCTGGGCACTGGGGCAGAAAGGGACAGGAGTGGCCCTCGTGGCCCACGTGGTACGACGGAGAGCCTTCTAAATAGGGTTGCAGCCCCCCTCCCTCACACACACGGGGAGCCGGCCAGGCCGTGGTGGGGCCTGCAGGCATTTGAGCAGTTCTGTTGCAATGCTGCCACTTGGTTTTGAATGTCCCTGGGTCAGGCGTCCTTCTACAGTGCTGGCATTGACCCTCGAGTCATTGAGGACCTTGCTAAGGGCATCGCAGGCTGGAGCCTGCTCCTAGGCAGAATCTCCTTACTAGAAATCATTGGCATAGCCGATCCCTCTATGAGTTGGATACTATTTAAGTAACAGAGTGTATCCCTCAATTATATTAATTTAAGCCATCTTTCTTTATTTAAACCAGAAATAATAAATTTTATAAACAAAAGAGGTTACGTGACTATCATTTTTCTTATTTGGGTTTGAACCCAAGATTCTTAGACATAAAGCTCTATTTTAGCATCAATAGGGAAAAAATATTTGCAATGCTATTAATTCAGAATGCTGTGTTACACATTTAATTCTTAGATGGGGCAAAATATACCAACACAATTAGAGAAATCTCTCCAGTATATACAATGAAGAAAAAAATTATTTTTATATTTATGAACTATTTTATTTAAATATTACTCAAAAATAACAAATCATTACTCTACCAAGGCAACACTTTCTTCAGTGGAAGAAAACATAATATGTTTGTTTTTTATGTTGCTGTGTTTCTTTTTCTGTTTTTTATTTGCTGCTTTCCTGTTTAAAGTATTGCACATCTGCATACACTCCTTGTAGACCCCCACTGCTGTTGTCAGTGCATCTTTGCTGCCTCCCTGAAGGAAGTGTTCATCAGATCTGGTTCTTTATCAGGGTGCTGTGTTCTACATAGCTCAACTGCACGCTGCTACCCTACACTGGCACTGCCAACAACCACTCAGATGCCCAGGACCCGAAAGGAAGCCCCACTGCTGACTGGCGATCACATTCCAAGCCCGTGATGCTTCCATCTTCCCAGCGAGGCGGGCCGGTTACCACTGTGCAAAGGAGTGTGATTCAGCGAGCACACACTTCAGATCTTGGGCTGAGTGTGTGTTCTCACTGGGCAGAGCAGCAAGAAGCGGCTTTAATTGTGGCCTGTAAATGAGAGCATTTTAGGTGGGGTCCCAGTTACACTGAGGGCCTCTCTGTGGCTGCCGCTGCTGCCATGTGTCTGATGTCAGTGAGTGAGTGAGGGCTTTACGTGTCAGTTACTTGTGAGACAGTGTGGGTTTATCAGTTTTTGATGTACTTAATTTTATTACTTTTGCTATCTTTGTCAGCCAGTTGGGGCCTTTCAAAGGCATGGGAAGCCACTGACTCTGCTCTTCCTGGACCGCAGTGGGTGGGCTGGGTGTTTAGGCATAGCCAGTGAGAAAAAGGGGGATGGTGGTACCCTTCAGACAGACAGGGACGTGTGGCCCGGGAAGCTGGGCCTGAGACTCCATCATCGCCAGTTTCACCGGATTCCCTAAAAACACATTTTTAGGGTGAAACAGATCTTCATTTTTACCTAGCAACTCAAAGTGCCCTGATCAATCCAACTTACAGAGGATTTAAATAAATGGTTTACATGCCTCAGAAAGCAGGAGGAAGCAGAACTTCAGCAGAACCATTGACTTAGATCTGTACATCATGCTGTGCACCTTAAATTAATATTGTGAAAATGTTCACATTTTGTTCACAATTATTAGCAGAGACATGAAAATAAGTTTAATACCATCCGTAAGTTGGTGAGCGCAAGAGAAGATACCTCAGTAATCTGCACATACTCCTGCCCCAGGTGCACTCTATATTTGGAGCAGACTTTGTGCCTTTCCCATCTGAACTGAAGGGGCTGGACCAAGGGCAGTTACGGTGGGCGGCGCACATGCCCGGGACAGCGCCGGGATAGCTCAGACGAGGGTGGCTTGGGCAAGGGCCAGGTGAGAGGCTGACAAAGCGCCCAGGCAAAGCACAGCCTGTGCTCCTAAGCTGGACCTGAGCCCATGGGGGCAAGCGCTCCAGACCGATGACCCGCCTGGCCCTCATGAGCACCCTGCACTACTGCGGTGCAGACCTGGCCATCAGGAGCTGTCACGCGGGTCCAGGGGTCTAACACATTTCCCACTGAGCACGATAACCACCAGCCTATGCTGGCAGAAGTCCGCCCCATGGCCCGGCCCTGGCAGATCTGGCACAGTGGGGACACCGCCCTCTGCAGCGCACTCCCAGAAGCACAGCTGTCCCCGTGGGTTGTCACCCCGCCTGCTCCTCCTGAGAGCCACACGCGAGGAGGGGACGGTGCACCAGGTCACCACGTGGTCCTCACTGAGGGCTGACGGCTGTGCTCACTGCGGTTGAAGCTGTCCGCATTCCACACTGTTGGCCCTAATGCCGGCCTGCCCCTCCTTCCACAGTTCCCTCCGATGTATTTTTCGTCCATTCGGTGTGGAAAGGATACTATGAATATTTAGGCAAGAGACAGCCTGCGACTCTGACTGTGGATGGGTTCAACGCGACCAGCAGCAAGGTGAACGCGACCTTCAGGACAGCCCCGCAGGTGCAGCTGGACCTGACAGGTGCGTGCCCTGCCCTCCCGCCCAGGTCCCTCGCTCCCACTTGGGGAACACAGTGCAGCTTAGCGCTGCTGACAGCTGGGGGGCTGCCTGTGCCTCCTGGCGCTGACAGCCAGCCCAGAGGAGCGAGGGACTTTCCTCCAGATCCTGTGCGTGCCCTGAACGAAGGCCAGACACTCCGTCCCCAAACTGTTCCTGGGGCCTCTTGCCTGACCCATGCCTTCCTTGTGAATCGGCGACGTGAGAGCATGAGAAACACAAGCTCGGGTCCGCATGGCAGACCCCTTCGGTCCTGCAGAAACCCGTGACGTGAGTCACCTTACTGCGCCTCGGAACGACTTTTTATAACGAGGAACCGAAGGGCTGTCAGGCAGGTCAAGAAAATCACATACGTTTCCAAAGCTTTTAGAAATGCAACACAAACTGCGTGATTTGTGAGGAAAGATTTGAGCTCAGTGGTGAGAGTCTTGAGCCCCCGCTAGTGAGTGGGAAACATTTTCAACTTCACGGCTCTTGAGAGCTTTTTCAAATCACCACACTTTAGCACTTCCCTGACTCCTAGAGGCCCAGAATTCCCCGAATGCTCCACAAGACACCGTCCTGGGCCTATGTGGTGAGAAGCCCGCTGTCACCCCTGTGCCACTGAGGGTTGGTGGTGGTGGCTTTGTCCGTGTGGCAGGTCAGGAGGCAGCACACCTCCCTGAGTCCTCACATGGAACAGCCGTGCCCACGGGTGCCGAGCTGGATCTAAGATCTAGCCGTGGATCAGGATGAGCTGGGGAACTTTTTCAATTGTTTAAATTCCTTAGTTTCACCTGAGTGAATTGGATACTTCTTCTCATGGGGGACCTGAATTCTTCTTTCCCTAGAGGAAATGCTCCCTGGGTCACTGTCGGGATCCCGCAGGCACCTGGAGAAGCATGTGAAGGGAGAGGGGTGCGCAGGCCTCGGGGCTGTGCCTCGGTGAGGAGGGAGGGAGTGGCGCTCCTCAGCACAGCCACACTGCCTCCTGGGTCCACCGTCGAAGGCCAGTTAAGTTCCCTCTGCCTGGGCTGTGGAACCCGGGTGCGGTTGCATAGGTCAGAATGGTGTGCAGACTGGGAGCTGCACGGCGGGCACAGCACCAGCCCTGGGAGCCGGGAGCCCTGGAGCTCCTCCTGGCCCAGGCAGCGGGCTCCCCTCCCCCGTGGCCATGGGAACCTCCTGGTCCTCTCCTCTGCTGTGCTTTTATTGCCTGCTTTCCCTGTGCAGCGCTATTTCTATGGCTTCCCGGGAAGGGCACCGGCAGGTGTGACCATGGGCCACTCTGCCTCCAGGGCTCCTTGCTTGCTGGCCTCTGCTCTGCTGGTGCCACGGTGCAGGTCTGCTCTATAAGTAGTTCTGTTTTGAGTTTCGGTATCGATCTGCTTTTCCTACATACTCCTGTCCTCAGAAGCAGACGACAGCCAGATGTGAAGTATAGGCTCTGTTCAGTGGCAGAATTGAATAAACGTAAGGGCTCCTCTGATCCCTCCTGTGGGTGAGCCCCACACCCACTCAGGACAGACACATGCAAGGACAGGGACAAGAAGGGAGCTCAGATGTTCAGCAGGGAAAGTCACACGATTAAACCTTCTGAGTTCTGAACCATAAACAGGTGCGGAGGCAGAGACTCACCGCTGTGGTCTTTCCGCAGGGGTCTACAAGAAGGAAGAGGCTCACTTACTGCTGAAAGCCTTTCAGATGAAAGGCCAGGTGGACATCTTTGTGAGCAAGTTTGAGAATGACAACTGGGGCCTGGATGGTTACGTAAGTCTCCGCAGCAGCTCAGGACAAGCAGGGCTTCGCTCTCTCTGTGGTCGGGGCGGGGCCACTCGGAGGTTCCAGGCAGAGAGGCGCACCTGCCCCTTGGGACCCCACGACCCCAACAACACATCAGCCCCACTTTCACAGTGGCAGAGAACAATCTCTGATGTGAGATAAATCAGCGAGGGCAGGGCTGTTTCTAGTCTGTCCCAGCAGGAAAAGTGTGCTGCAGCCACGGGAAACGGGCTGGTGGCTCTGCGGAAGCCATTCCTGTGGCCGCAGGAGGGAGGACTCCCCCAGTGTCTGCAGTTACGTTACCCGTGTCCAGCTCCCACCTGACGGGGCTGCCCAGCCTCATGAAGGGCACAGGGACACAAGGAATTCGTGGATCGGGTAGGATCTTCTGGAGGCAGGCAGCTGCCGTATGGCACACAGCAAAATGTGCTGCCACGCTGTGGGCGTTTGCGTAAATTCCCTGAGGGCCGCCTCTGTACTGATCATCCAGAGGAGTTTGCAGCCATGCAACGTGGAATCCGTGCTGTTAAATCTAGCCACGAGGGTTACCCTGAGATGAAAGAGGAGTTTGCAACTTCTCCCTCTCACACCTTCTCCCCTCTTCCTGTGCGCCAGGTGTCCTCAGGGCTCGAGAGGGGAGGATTCACTTTTCAAGGAGACATCCATGGGAAAGACTTTGGGAAATTCAAGCTAGAAAGGCAAGGTGAGCTGCATTCATGACCTCTTTTCTAGATTTTATCATTTGTTTTTCATACCGGGTATTGAACACTCTTGACCTTTCTAAAGTGAATATCAATTTGGCCTTCAAATGATCGCGCTGGGGAGACACGGGAAGGATGCGACCCCAGAAGAAATGAGCATGGTGACCGGAAGGACGGACGGGTTCTAGAAGGGAGGGAAAAACAGAAGAAAATAGACAAAAAGCTGGAAACAGTGCAGTGCACGTTAAATACAGAATTAGCGTCCACATTACTATATCAAGAAATATTTTAAAATAGGGGTGAAAAACAAAGGTGGTGTTAAATTTAAAACTTAATAAATTCTTTTCTCAGGAAACTTGAGTTGTTAAAAGTTAAAAAAAAAAAGTAATTGAAAGTGACGAGTAAACCTACAAAGAGATCTTCAAAGTGCACACACTCACGTCAGATAACAAACTTATAGGAGTGGCAGAGTTTTACAGAGCGCTTTTGTGTTGCTAGAACAGACCGAGGACTGTGATTTGGTGGTGGTACCGCAGACCCATACGACTCTGCATTCCTCTTCTGTTCAAGAACCTTCTCTTAAAATTTTAATCAGGGAAATGGAAAATTGTCCTTTGCAGTATTCAGGCAAGTTTGTATCAAGACTCTCAAGTACTTTGAAGTAATTGGCTCATCTGTCATAAACGAATTGAGTCAGTGAAATACATTAACTAATCCAATGAAAAACATTAAATAGGAAACAAAAGATTCAGGTCGTTTGGTTCTGCGATTGAGAACTTCATGTAGAGTGGGAAGCTCTCCACGGTCGGCCTGGGAAGAAGTGTCCTCTGGACAGAGACCTGCCTTCCTTCTTTGTATCTTTCTCCATCCCCGCCGTCCTATTTTTATCTTCAGGATAGAGAAGGAAACGGTCAGCAGATGTCCTTCCCCTCTGTGCTGGGCATGATAAGGATGATCCCTTTGGGGGGCAAGGGCTTTCGCGTGCACATCTTTTAACCCTTAACAACCAGTGCTGCACTTTCCAAATGGCCAAGAATACTGTAACACAGCCTGCATTACGAACATCTTTGTAACCACAACCCCTGTGAATTCCTTTACACTTCATCCTCCGGATGCTGTCAACATGCCAGCTGTATGAGCAAGACTGCCACACTGACCTTGGTCCCAGGGCCCTGCAGAAGCTCAGGAAGTAGACCCTGTGCAGCGCTGGTGAGCTCCTGTGCGAGACTCCTTGGCACAATTGTTCACCAACCCGTACATCAGCATACTTTAAACAAACGGAGCACCTGGACCCAGAAAGGAAATAAATCATAAATGCTCAGCCTTCATCGGTCCAAATTTGGTGCCATTAAGTAGAAGGCCTTTAAGTTATTCCAGCAGTGGCTGAGCCAGTAGTGTAAGCTACATTGTGTTAGAATAATGGAACAGAGTGCACGCAGTTAGGCCAACACTGACTGCAGGGAAGGTTCCCTTCCCACTGATCGAAGTCCCACAGTGCTTTGCTCCCCTTTCTCCCTCTAGTGCGTGCTCTGGTGACTTCAGGACACTGTGTGGCTGTGGAGGTTTATTCAGGCAGTGAAATGACCAGAAGTATCACTCTGGGATGCCAAAAAACTTTGCGTTACCCAATTTCTTTCTAACCTAACAAAATAGCAGCTTATGTTAATAAGTAATCTTTGTTGTCCAGTGACCACCAGTTAACTGTCAAGAAAAACAGTTTGCTTCACAAAATCATTTGAATCCCAAGAAAATCTCAAATCCAGCTAATTAGGAAAATATTTAAGTAATGCTTTAGGAGCCATGATCCATTCAGTGGTGATGGCTAAAACCTATTCTTTGGATAAAAGTACAGCACCTCTTAATTGTCTTCAGTCAGTAAATAAATAAATAAAATAAATTGTCTTCGATCAGTAAATAATTGTCAGTAAATAAATAAATAGAAAGAGTAGGTTATCATTAAATGAACACTGAAATCCTGTTCATTTGAAAGACAAGTTTAATGGAAAACTTAGGTAAGAAACTCAACATAAATTGTTTTCCTCATTAAAATTGAATGATTCCTCCTTCACAAAATAACAGAAAATCTGTAAAAATCATGAATCTGATAATTTACTTGCATCCAAACTGAATGAAGGACTCCTGATTCCACACTCTGAGACAGATAAGCAGTGGCGAGGCAGAGGCTCTGAACCGATCCTGCTCTGAAGATGCACCAATGGCCCATGCGCCCTTTAGCACTGGGGAGAGTGCTTGTCTCTACAGGCCCCATGCACAGGCTCTCAGAGAACAGGGTCAGAAAGTGGAATAGCCATGGCCAAGGATGGTGAGGAAACAGAAGTCAGACTGCCAGTGAGTGTGAGGTTATGTGGCTGTTATTGTGGAAAGCAGTCTGGCAGTCCACAAAACCGTGGATCCTAATTTCCATAGACCTGGCTATTCCACACGTGCATGTCCAGCCAGAGGACCACAACTGTGTTTGCACAAATGCTTGTACACAAATGTTCCTGGTAGCATTGCATTAATAGCCCAGATTCAGAAACACTAATTCCATCAACTAATGGATACAGAAAACATGGTAGATCTCTACAAGGAGTTATTCAGAGTTAAAAAGGAACAGAACACAGATGCACATTACACTGTGAGTGCCCTTTGCCAACATGGGGCTAAGGACCAGCAGCAGCCACCTATGGCACAACTCCTTTATACGCCATATCAGAACAGGCAGACTTAGGGGAATGTTGACTTGCAATGATCTGGGGCTTGAGATCAGATGAGGACTGACTGCTGGGGATTCTGGGGCTCTTTGGGGTCTAAATCAGATCCTGGTGATGGTCACACATCTGTAGATATCCTGAAGAGCCCTCAGATTTGCGCAGCGATGTGTATGAATTGTCTGGTGTGTGCATTTCTTCTGACAAGATTTGGCCTTTTAAAAATTGAGAAACTCAGCCTATCCCATGGGCAAACATGCTGGGCCTCACTCTCTGGAGGCTGTGCAGTGTACGAGCAGGAGACTTCCTGTATGGTACTGATGATGGTGAGGATAAGCACTGGTACTGGGAGGCATAGGAGTGGGTAAAAAGGTGTGCACCATGGCCCAGGTGCCTCTGCAAAGCTCTTGGGGGATGAGGCCAGGACATGCATGGGGCACTGGTGCACAGAGATTAGGACAGAAATAGCCGCACTCAAAGGTCACATTCTGCCAGGCAGAGACAGAATGTCACTGCAGTGTGATAGAAAAGACAGGAAGTGGCTGAAACATGTGGCGACAGTGGACTGGCCTATGGTCTTTGATCTGTCCACCAGTAAAATACTATATACCTTAGAAAAGCAAATCTCTTTCATATGTGCCCATGGAAGGACCTCAGAATTATGTGGTTACACTTGAAAGGCTGCATAAGAAGTTATTGTATGGCATTTTGGAGTTTTAGAAATATGTATAAGAAAGAAAAGGTAAGTAATCAGATATAGTACATTGTTGAAAGGATATTTAAAGCAATCTGTTACCCATAAAAGGGAAGACTGGCATCCAGGGAAGGGAAGCTTCATTTGCTCCTGGACTACCCCTAAATTATTCAAACAAGGTCAAATTGGAATTGGCTGGGAGCCTCAGATGTAGATTCTCTTGTGGCTGGGGTCTGGATGTCACCCAATGCCTCATTTGGTCAGAGGTGGCCAAATCTGGAAGGTGCGATGCTGGGATTGAGCGTGTGATCACTAAACCACTGCATGTGAGTGACTGGCTCAGCACCACCCTAATCTGAGGAGTCTGAGGGATAAAAGCGGGCAGAAAGCTGTGTGCAGTGGGGCTCTCTTGTAGCCTCTGCTGCCTTGTGTGTGCCATGTTGTTCCTCCTCTTTCAATTTGACTTTTTGTAAATTCTGGAAATATACTTTTGAAACCTAGACCAGCTTGTCCATAAATCTGCTACATGCAGACAGCTTCAGCCATCATTCATCCTACTGGGATTTCTCCATGCAGCTAGGAACACACACTTCAAAACCCTCCTTCACCCACAGGCTCAGCAACCAGCCTCCTTCTTTGGTTAAAAAAATGCTCCTGTACACGTTTGTTCCTGTGAATTTCCAGTGCCCTCCTGCGCCTCTGGGACTCGTAGGTGTCTCTGCAGATACAGGCTGTCTGCTTAAGGACCAGCCCTCTGCAGTGTCTGCCTCCCCTCCTCCTGAGCAGAAAGTGTACCTTAGTGTCCTCAGTGTCCACTGTGAGAGCATGTCTTTCCAGGATTTCCAAATGACCTGGTGACTTTTGCGATAGACCCAAAATACAATCTGATAACATTTACATACAAACGTGCAGAGGATGCATACCAGTTATGTGGAGAGCTGGGATCTGTGCCTAACTACAGTGAGTGATAATTTGCAAAGTCTGGCATTAGGGCAGGAAGAAAGAACCAATAGTACTGGCCTCTGTATATGGGCAAAGATAGGCTGCTTTCTATTAGATTATTTTGCAAATAACAATATCAGTAACTAAAAACAAGAGTCAAAATGTTTAGTGACCCATGTTTCGTGTTTCAGGCATTTGAAATTTGAGAATCTTCCATAGGATTGTTGAGTGTTAACAAAGAAGAATCAGAGGGGTTTTTTGTTTGTTTGTTTGTTTGTTTGTTTGTTTAATCTTGGTCATTAAAATGGATATGAAAGTCTTCAGAAAGGAGTTCTGTGGATAGGAGCTTCCTGCTTCTCGTAGCATTTGCTTATGAAACATAATTTACTTCTGCAATTATCATGTTTAAGCAGAGGACAATACCTGCAAAATAAATAACCTCCTTCTCTTCCAGATCCCTCAAACCCTGATCAAGACCCTTCGAATCATTACCATGGCACCAGCAGCGGCTCCGTGGCAGCAGCCATCCTGGTTCCCTTCTTTGCTCTTATCTTATCAGGATTTGCATTTTACCTCTACAAACACAGGTACTGCACAGCCCCTTATTCTGGGTGCTCTGGGGTGGCCTCGGTGGCTCCCACTCACACGCACCTGTCTCAGTACTGCTTTGTGACAGTCACTGTGGAGTTAGGAATGTGCTGCAGGTCTTAGCGGCTGAGTGGCCTTTGTGTTTGTTCACCTGTCTGTCTGTCTGCCTGTCAGCAGGGCACATCCGGGCAAGTGGCCCAGAGGGAATCACTGTGAGTTGAGGTGGAGCTGTGGGATGGCTGAGTCCCATCCCCACACATCCAGAGGAGGGCAGCATGCTTGGGGCTGCTTTTAACTCATGCTCTGATTTATGCTTTGTACTGACTCATCAATCAACAGATAAAAATTGAAATTTTAATGTGCACTAAATAATATTATATGTCCCATCCCTTGGAAAACTGTTCTGAATATTTATTTATAAATATTTATTTACAACCAAAAAATAATTGGGCAGAAGCAACCTTTATGGAATAGATGTTTCCTTTGAAGTTATAACTGGGACACAAAAAATGACCGCAGAGGAATTAGAGTCCCTGGAGGGCTGCTGCTGCACAGATAAGTCATCTCTTGGAGGAATTTTCCACTTTGCTCAGAAGTACAATTTTGAACAATTGCACTCCTACAAATCCTGCCAAACTGTCAACGATCCCTGGAATAATTTTCAAGTATCTTAAATGGGCCAAGCGCTTCTATAATGTACATATTTCCACTTAATCCTGGTTAAAAACATAAAGCCAGTGTGGAAACAATACTTTTAGTATTACAGCTTCTTTAAATATATGCTCTCTTATACTTTTAAAATACATGAAGCAGCATTAACGATCCTCCAGACCCACACTGCATTAGCTGCCTGTGTGCCTGTCTCCTTCTGCCTGTGGGATGTGGGGTTGGTATTTAGACCTGTGATCCACGAGCAAGCTGAGGTGGCAGTCACAGAATGAAGGAGCCAAAGCCCGGGTGTGGTTCAGGGGCGGAGTTCCCCACAGCATGCCTGAAGCCCCGTCCCTCCCTGGCACCCAAGAAACAAATAGACATCAGCAATAAGAAGATGCATCTGCATTATGAACACCTTTTATCTTACGGGATGATATCCTGTATACACAGGGCTAGGAGACCTCCCCTCTCCCTTCTGCCCCAGCTGGTGGGAGGTCACTAATGCACAGCCTCCGGTCACCGGCTCGTCCAGTCTGGTGCTGCTCCCAGAAGTGCTTCTCTTACAGGGACGCAAACTAAAGGCCTTATCATGTGTCGGGCCAGGTAACACAGCCTGGCTACTAGACAGCGGGGGTCTGTAAACCCCACTGTTCGTTTGCCTGCACCCCAGGAAGGGCCTAATCGGTCACAGCACCTTCTCACCTCCTGGTCTCTCTGGCCTGCTGGGTCTTCAGCATCCTCCCAGGCCTGGACCCTGAGTGGTGGATTCTTCACCCATCCATGAGTGCGGCCTCTATGGCTCTGATGTGCAAACGTTCACACAGCTCTCAGGGCCTCTTGTCTTTTGAGATGAAAACACCGCACAACTCCAGGTGTTCCTGTGTATGTTAAACACAACTCTGGCCCTGTCTTATTTTAAGCCTGTAGAGAGAGCTCAGGTGCTTTCAACACACACCTCAGGCACAGTGCTTATACCTGGCCTGGAAGCTCCTGCTGGGCCCCTGTGAAAGGTGACTTCCTGAGCAGCCCTGGGAGAGGCCTGGGTCATAGTCCACCTGCAGGAGAGGGCACTGGGGCTCGGGGCATCAATGTTATGGTGAGGGCCCCTCAGTCCCAGTGCCACTGCCTCCCAGGGCTGCTAGTCAAGAATGCCACTCTCCCGGCCTACAGGGGCCCCAGAGGCCACAGCAGCCACAGGTCTGCAGGGCCATGAGCTCCCTGCTGCCTACCACATGGCACATTGGGGTCTGGGGAGGGAGAGAAGAGCCCAGGCTGCCCTCCTGGCCCCATCCAGGAGAGCGCCCCTCCCTCACACCCACAAAAGGGCACTGCCCTTGGAGGGCAGCACATAATTCTTCCCAGAACCCACCCGGCTCAGCCTGAGCCCTGAGCCTGGCTCTGCCTCCCCAGGTCTGGCTGCCTCTGGCCCCATGGCCCCTGACAGCCTGAGGACAAGCATTCAGGGGCACCCACATCTCCTGTGTCTTTTTCTGAGGAACAGATTACACTTTGAGGAAATGCACTAGTGTATCACTCAAGCAAAAGTTTCTTCACATCAGTATTAAGAGATACATGTGCCAGTGTCGTTGTTGACATTACAGTTCTATTTCCAAAGCCTGCCTTATTTTCTTACATAATTTCTTCCTCTGTGATAAAGAAATCAGCCAGAGTAGATGCAATGAGATCTTTTCTATCTAAAATCCTCTAATGTTCAAATCTTGGATTACATGCTAGAGGCTTCTTTTAATCGGAAAATGTAAATATTGGTTTCTTTTCAAGAATGTTCACTTCTAATTCACAGAAAAGACATCCTACCATGCAAGGTAACAACACATTGGGTGCCAGGCCTGGACACTGACAGTTCAACCTGGGAGAGCAGGCAGCCAGAAACAAGGCCAGCATGCTTCTTGTCTCTTTTGCAGAGAGAGGAAAAGCCCTGTGGCTTCCTCTGTAACTTGTCCACCACAGACAGGTGTCCATTCCCAAATCTACCTGACCATGTCCTTGGCAAAGTTCCTGATTTCTCAGGAGAATCATGGGAAGCATAGATGATTCTTTGATTTTGGGAGTTGCTTTCATTTCTAAGCCCTGTTGATAACCCTCACCACAGCTTAGACAGCCTTGGCCAGGCACTGTGGGCAGTGTCCTGCCTCTGCCCTGACGGTGGCGGCTTAGGTTCCCACTCGCCCAAGCTGTGAATCAGGTTTCTGTGGTTGCAGTCCATGCTAACTGTGTCCCTCTCCTCCCTCTAGAACAAGACCAAAAGTTCAATACAATGGCTATGCGGGACATGAAAGCAGCAACGGGCAGGCCTCCTTTGAAAACCCCATGTACGACACGAACTTAAAGCCCACAGAGGCCAAGGCCGTGCGCTTTGACACGACTCTGAACACAGTGTGCACGGTGGTATAGCCCCGGGTGCCAGCCTGACTCATAGCCATACCTCTGAAGGACAAGCAGCAACTCCTCTGGTGCCACAGACCACACTTCCTTCTACTCTTGCTTTGCTGCAGCGCCTCGTCCAGTCCATCGTCTTCTGGGGTCCGCGTGGCGGGAACCCCACCCACCCCTCGTGGCACAGTCTCCTGAGGCCCAGACTGCAGACGTGGATTTCTCACAAGCCGCTGAGACCCAGGCCCGCTCCGGGGAGAAATCCGAGTCCCGTGACCCACGAGCTCCGCCCCAGACTCCAGATCTCGGCGCGCTGGGTGCCTTTCCATGCAACCTCGGGCGCGCGGAGGTGTCCTGCAGGTACAGCGACAACACAGCAGCACCGCAAGCCAAGTCTTAACTTTCCTTTGAGTCCCCATGGACACAGATGCCCTAGAAGGTAAAGAAGGTTTTCTTGAGGAAGATGCCTTCCTAACAGATGCACACACCTGCGAATGCTCCACTCTGTCCTTCCCGACACCCAGCGAGCTTTGAGGACCTCCCGGCTCCGAACGTCCACCGCAAGGGACATTCGCCAGTCTCCCGCCAGCTGTCCTACTGCAGAATTTTTGATGCACAATTTTTTGCACTAGGGTGTTATGAACGATGGAGTAACATTCTGATAAAATGAACTATTCACACAGGGTTTATACACACTATATGTTGTATATAAGCATCCTTCATAGAGTCAGCTACATACCCCATCAGTCCGGCTGGAGTGTACAGAACATCCCCAGACACACCCGGCACAGATTTCAAAGGAAAAGCAGTAATGAGGAAATTTATTTTATTATTGCTTCTACTAGCTACTTGTATTTTTAAATTCACTGGAGATGTCCAACAAGAAAAACAGAGGCCTTTTATTTTCCGTGTTTTCTTCCTTTAGGGTCCTCGTAGCCCAGGCATTGTCTCTGGTGTACAACTTCACTCCATGTGGTTGGTCATGTTTCCATTTGCAATGTACAGATGTGAATAGTAATTTATTTTAGGTAGCTCACGAGCCTGTGAGCTTTAGCTCACAGCCAAGTCTTCTCTTTCATGTCGTTATCTTCTTTTTCTGTGGCATCACCCCGATACTGCATTGGAAGACAGGAAACCACAATCCCTCTGCATCTCAGTGGCAGCTGTGCAGGACCAGTGTCCCTCTGGAGGAAAGGGAGGATCACTCCCGCTGTCCTCACACCGTCGTCTACTTTATACTTTTGTTTCACGCTTTAGACTTACAGACGGGAAGACCATTTCCGTGATTCAACGAGCTTACAGTTCTTTATAGGTAGATTATGAAGTGTGGAATAAATAAATAGGTCATGCTTCCCAAGCAGATAAAATTTTAAACACATGGATGGATAGTCGTGACCGTGAGAATGTTCTGTAACAAATTTAAAGTGAAGATCATGTTTATTTTTATTTATAATTGTTTGATAAAGGTATTTTTGAATAAATATGCTTATTTTGTTATTTGATGCTGAGGTACATATTCCACACCGTGAGGGTTCCCCCTGCACTTCCCAGGCCTGTTCCCAGCAGATTCCCACTCCTAGATCAGGACAGGGTAGGTGGCTTGCGAGTGCAGGTGCTCACTGGTGACCAGGAGCCAGGAGCCACTTGGGGCCAGCCTGTCCTGGGAGTCGACGCTCTGTTGTGAGCGTCCTGTAGTCCGAGGCCCCGGCTCCTCTGCTGCATACCAGCTGCCAGGGCTCCTGCCCTCTCCTGGTGACACCGGTGCCTGAGTCCACAGTGCTGGGCTGAAGTTGCACACTCTTGGCAAGCGTGCCCCGGGAACCCTTCCCTGGCCTTGCCGGGTCCATGGGTGAGGTCAGTGGGAGCCACGTCCCTAACACACAATAAGTCAAATGGGCGGCAGCGGACCAAGTGAGGGGCCATGGTGTGCGAGGGGGAGCAGTGTCATACGTACCGGGTGTGTATATATACATATATAGATATA